ACGCATTCAACCTCTCGTCTTCGTCATTTTCCAGAACTCTATTTATCTTGGTTTTGAATATTTTGTAGCTGAATCCAAGAAAATGGAATTACTTGAATTTTGTATGTCCAAACCTATATACATTATCCGAAAGGCATAGCGTACGGATAATTGGCCCGTGACTGTCCAAACCTATATAAGGTCCACGGTATGCGACATCTGTACCCCTAAAGGTTGAGGTAACGCGAAACACGTTTAAAAAAAAGCGATATCCGGAGAAAGCCAAGGCGAAGCGCGTCCATTAACCGGTCGTTTGCAACCAAATTGACGGCCTGGTCACATCCCCGCTGATGGGTAACTGGAGAGTCAGCGATCGATATTGTGTCCGACGTCGTTCGGAGCTCACGCGCACGACCAAAATGAAAAGGAAAGCTTTTTTACTTGGTGTTCACTTGCAGACAACCAACAACGCGGTTTTCCGGGAGGTGGCGGTTGTTAACTACTTCCCAGGGACCGTCTTTGTTCACGGTGAACGCAGTGATGACGTCGTCATTTGGGTCGCTGACGGTGCTATACTCCTTGGTACCTGCCAACCAAAATGGCGCCTGGTAATCAGCCTCCGCGCTCGAGAAGATGGTGAACCAGTAGTAGGATGAAGTTGGTAGGACGATCGATGAGGGAGGGGACCATTGAAACTTGGCTCGCTTGTCGATGTTCTTAATGGGGATGCGGGCAGGCTGGCCCGACTTGGTGCAGTAAGGCTTGCCTACAAGTCAACCATGAGTCCCATATGCGATGCCCCCTTCACACTAGTTCCGCACCGTTGACAGAAGGGCAGAAGTTGACCAGCAGCGACGTATCACCGGCCACCTTCGACGTGTCCATCATAAAGTTGACAGTGTCGATGGTGAGTCCCTCTGGGCCGCACGCGTTGTCCGCGGCCGAGGGGCTGCGAAATCGCACAGCAGCGCCGCGATTTCTCGAGATGATAGCGAACTCGCCATCCTTGTCGGGGGGGCTGTGGCTGTCAAACACAACTTGGGACGCAACGGCGGCGTGGACGAGACTGGCAAGAAACTTCATGGAGGGATATGTTAAAATGACGGTGGTGGGCCACTCAAAGTCTCATGGGAAGTCTAACCACGTGCACTGCGACTCTGTGTCAGTGTCGCAATAGTCCCACTCAGGTCGTCAGGACTGGAAAAACTAGTATGCAATCACGATGGTCAGGTCCTCGAATTTCCCATTCGGTTGCGTCGGTGCGACACAATTCAGACAGACACGTCCTTCAGCTGCTTCGTCGCGACAGAGTGCAACAGGCTACTAACTTGCCGCTGTTTCCAGAGATACGTGAACATGAAGTTATACACACGGGCCTACGATTCGGTGTGCGTGGCGGATGGTCGTTCATCGCGATGGGATATCGTTCTTATCAAGGCTCAAATACAAGTTGATTCGAGCTCTTCGTGTGCCATCTCTCCCTGTACCTCGCTGGTGTCCTCGCCATATCACACTGTGACGGAATTCCACAGCCACCAATGGTCGAAATGGAATATGACATGTGGGATTGAGCGGGAGTTCTTGACCAACACCCCGTCGAGGCACATGCCGGCAATCCAATCGATCAGGAAGATCGACTGGCGAGGGCTATGGCGAGGCTGCACCACCGCACCGGCAGCTAGTACGCCGAGTGGCGCAATACGGCGAGCACAAATCAAGCGAATTGGCCAGGAATCTCGAACCACGTAATTGGGAACTCTCGTTACATCATGTCTTCTCGACAGCGGCGGTGGCGCAGGCAAAGGCCAGCAGACGAAAGTCACTCAGCAACACGTGAGGTGTTGGTCTCCCCGCCTCACCGCATAAGATTACTAAGCTCGTTCAGTCGCCTCACTGTCCATGCAAAAGACCTTTCAAACGTTGGTAGGTTCGAGATCGCTCGGCTCATACTACTATCCCGTGCGGTTAGGATCGAGGGCCTCCACGATGGCCGCGGAGACTTCTCCAGCAAAGTCTTTGTGGGTTTCCACTGCCATGCACGCCGAAATTGGATGCACTGGAATCTCTGCATTGAGAAGCACCACCGACTTCACACCAATGCGAGCGACCTTGATTCCTTGCTGTGCCATTTGGGCCAGCACGTTTCACCACTGTCATCAGTTCACCCGAACAACTTGCGCACCGGGACCTCTCGTAGTCTGTGCAGCACAATGAGGCTTCGCTACTTGAGCGAAGCTGATATGCTGCCCAAAGTATGATACCTTGTCTTCCATGACAGTGCACTTCGGAAGTCGCGGGGGTGTGGTGGGAGCGAACGTCGGGTTAGGAGAGAGGGCCGAGTTCGAAGGGAGGGTCGTGGTTGAGTCTTTGAAAAAAGATCCTTCTCGTGTGGAGCACATCCGCGTCGTACTTGGATCCGTACTCCTTCGTGGCGGCCTTGAACCCCCCACACTAAAGCAACCCTATGACTTGTTCACAGTGGACGACATCATCGAGGAGCCAAATGGCCATAATTTAATCAAATCAACACAAAATCATCTCAAATTGCGAATGTGGATAGTATTATCCATAACACACAAGGATCTATCAATAGATTTCTCTAAAACCAAGTAGTCTTTGAGATTTACTCGAAGAAAGACAAGAATGATAGTCATTTTCAACTGTGGAACTTGAAGTCCCCCCATAACACATATTTTCCCGTAACCGAACGATATAAATAGTCGAAGGTTTCCGTGAAACAGCTGGTGCAAGCAAATCCCTTAGCAGTTGATGCAAGGTCATTTTGCAACCTACGCAATGAACACGTCCGAGTTTGAACAAGTCGTTGTTTTTGTCAAGTCTGGACGCCCACGTGCCCTTACAAAGGAGGAAAGACTCGACATTTTGCGTTTTATGCTTTTCTCCGTCACACTGGGGCCACATATG